GAAAACCTCTCGGAGAATATTTGTCGTTGTCTTTCTAAAACGACACGAGGGGAGTAAATAAAAAATCAATTATTATTGGCTAAACAAAAGTCCGAACGGTCGCGAGCCGATGTCGACGTTTTTAGAGGAATAAACATTAATTGTTTGCACAACGACCACTGCCACAACTAATATTTGATATTCGAAAATACTATTCTAATGTATGTCGCGGTACAAGGGTCTACAATCTACCTGCGTCGCTCCGAGCGTTTGACACTTTAGCGGCTCTTTTGGTCTAAGATCCACTCTGTCTATAAGACGTGAGATATTTTAACTTTAACTTCTATGGAGGTGTTATTCATTTTATCTATCTTTGTCTTAATACATTTACAGTTCTTTTAGTAACCCATATCTAGCCTTTAATCGTGCCTATGTGCCAATACTTTTCATCACCTTTAATATACGTATGTAAAAAATAAACACAAACATTAAAATGAAATAATTTATGTTCGGCTCCTTCAATTCTGACACAGATGCCGGCTCTAGCATTATCAGAACATTAACTTTGCTTTTTTATAATTCAATTTTAATAAATAACGCATTAAGCAAAAAACAGCTACGCTTCAGGTCTCACGGTCAAACTCGCAATAAATTTGGTAACGAGCGTCGACCGCGGCACAGCCTTATCAAAACGCGGAAACCAACCCGTGCCTGCGCTATTATCTAAATTGACTTAACAAGTGAGCTCTGATACTCCCACGTAGTGTATGGGGCGAATATTATTATGTCCCTATTTTATTCATTATTTTATCTATACTGATATTATAAAACTGCAGAATTTTTTTTGTTTGTTCGAACGCGCACGTCTCAGGAACTACTGATTCGTATTGAACAATTATTTTGATGAGCTGTTAAGAGACTTAGCGATATATAATAACGCTGGAACCAACAGGAGAAATGAATGTGTGAAAATGAATGAATGAAATGAAGCACTAAAAAACTTGGAAAAAACGGGGAAAATTATTCCTTTGTGGGTTTCTGTTGCGTGCGCTGCGAAAACGGTTTAAGATACACAAAAAATATATGTCAGAAAAAATTAAGAATGACTTTTAAACAAAAAAAAACAAATGTACGCGACGGTATATGACTCTCTATTAAGATTAATGCACAAGAACCGTTTATATGGCAATAAAACGTTTGTCAGCTAGTTTTATTTATATCTACCTTAGGATTCGAACCTAGCACCTTTCTTGCTTAGCGCAATTAGTCAATACATCATTGATCCAAGCCGGCTTGGTATTAAAACTGGGTTTTAAATAAACAATTCGTTAATAATAACTCCCTAATTCTATATTCGCGAAGCATGGTCAATACGGTATAAATTAAAAAATACCTTGAGAACGGGTTCGGAGGCGTAGAGGGGGGAGCTGGTCACCCCAAATCACTGTCCGAGGGCTATTCGCATGGCGCTGACCACCGGTCAGTCGGCAAGTTTAAAGGGGTCACTCGTGTAGCACAATAGGACGTCCCTTCTTAAGTGAGGGATGATGGGTTGCGGACTTTGGGTATCTCTCCGCCAGTACGTGACCAGCGGTTGTGCGGTCCGGATGCGATATCGTCAGCTACTGTACTCGACTGTGTCCGCGAGCCCCGCACACATAACGCTTGCTCAAATAGTTAAGAAGGGTGACAAGGTCGCTACTCATCCTTATTGTTGTATGCAAAGGGGTTATTGAGACCGTTAGATAACGAATACCTTTATTATTATTTTGGCTATTCTATTTCTTTAAAAGAATCTATAACTAGAGTTTAAAAATTTTATACATATATATAGCTTTTGTACTGTCTGTAGTTTACGCAAATAGTCCATATTTTAACAAAGCGAAATGGAGAAACGTCGGGTTGTAGTTAAAATAAATTGTAAAAATGTATCCTATTATATTTCGCGATTTAAACCGGTTAAATTTTTTTTTAAAGTGGTAACATTTTACAATTTTTTTATTGAACATAGTAGATATAATCTACTGTCTATGTATATGCAAGCTAATTTTGTATCATGGATTTAATCCAAAGACAGGTAATAACATGAATGTTTGATTTATGACAGAAAAAACGTAATTTCTATTTTAAGGCCAGAAGGCATTTCAATAGAGACTCGCAAATATATTTTGAACGAAGTAAGCACGGTTACAAGACTTTCGTAGGTTATTGCAAATAACCTACGAAAGTCATGAATTTTTGAGTATTATAAAAAAATAATTTGGCATCTATTATGATTGAAAAAAAATTGACGACACGGGCGGGACTTGAAACATCAACCACAGTAGTACTCTTAGCAATCGAGCTTTTGTGTCACGGTAGCTGGATTGTAGTAAAACATTTCTTTTTATTTAATAAAAATACACTAATATTGATTACGTTCAACGTTTAACATATTATTAGGCATGAGAAATAGTTTTAGCTAAATAAAGATTAACGGTTTAACATATACACCGAAATGGTTTAATAGGAAACATAAAACATCGGCCGAGGCGAGATAATTAGAAGTTAAAGCTCGGCGCCGCGTGGTAGAACCAGGCCACGTAATTTGAAACCAGGCTTTTCTGCTTAAAATCACTTTTAATTAATTACTTATCAAATAAAAGATGCTTTTGATTTCCTGTCCTCAAGAAGAGAAAGCTTTCATTGCCCATAAAAGAACAAATGATTTATATTTCTATTTTGAATGATTAAAAAAATATTGCCAAATCTTACCCGAAACCAAATTACTCACTAGTAATTATGGGTACGCCTAAAATAAATCAAACAATTACAACACGAAAACAAGTTTTAATTGACAAAATTATGTATCGTAAAGAATTCATTTCCTGAATATAAGAGCGAGTAAATGTTAATTTCGTCTAAGTTTTATGGCATTATAAATGTGGACCACTTGAAACTGCTTGAGCCAATCAATTGATTGGGGAGCACCATCGAGACCTTACATTTCATTAGGAATATTGTAAACTCCACGTTATACAGACACAGTTTTTTTAAGTGAAGTCCCATTTCCCCCTGTGGGGCATGGTGTACACATTTCTGTGTCCATTTAACTGATCGAATTCTTTACTGGCAAGTAATTGATCAGACTTCTGTGAGCTCAACACCCGACCGAAATAATTTATTGTTTCCGTGGTATTCGAATCCAGGACCTCTCCCTTAACGCAATGTCAGGCAACACATTTAACTATTTGGTTACAGAGGCGGCTCTAATTCAGCTGATTACAAAACTCCTTCTAAGTTCCAATTTATAGGTTAATTGCTTTTCACAAATCGCTTTAATAGCGCAAAGTTGTATAAAAACTAATATTAATATTACGATCAGATAAAATTCCACATCCAGCCTAGGTACGGACTATTATTATCTGTAGCACAGCGCCGAACCAATTTCCGCATTACCCACTTAACAATGTTAATAGCGCAAGATAGATATTAAATAATATAGCAATCGTGGTGTGACTAATAGGAATTGTTTATTTTGCATGATAACTTAGGAATTAATCGTTTCGTACTAGAGGTATTGTAAACAAGGTAAATAAGTACATTGTAAAAACACATTAAGCAGTAAAATAATTTTTACATTTTAAGACCTTAAAAATTTAAGTAACCTTAAAATTTTCATTACTCTATTGCACGTAGGATGTGGATTTCCACTACGTACAACCTTCTATTACATTATTTGAAATGACGATTCCAATTAGCTACAGTAGTTTTAACTTTTAAGGCGAGCAAACTTTTTGTATCTATACCAATATTAGAAACCTGTAGAGTTTGTTTCTTTGATCACGCTCAGGAACGGTTAGAATTGAAAAAATTATTCTGTTGGATAAATCATTTATCAAGAAAAGCTTAAGGCTATAAAGCTGTGACCAATAACGGCGAAGGAATAGAAGAAATGTGAGAAAAATGGCCTTAAATTTAACTATCTAAAGCAATATCCGCGACGGTATATGTCTTATAAGATTAACGGCAAGAACAACGGGACCCGGACTACGTCGTGGGTAACAGCTATTTTCTATAAATTTAAGAGCTGAGGAGGTTCTCTGTAAAAATATATGTATGTTATATATTTCAACTGCCCCAATAGTTAAAGGTTGAAAACAAAAGGAACACTTTCTCGCTCTGTTACTGATATCAATAATAATTTAATTGTATCCATATTCCATATTCCAACACATATCAAATTGTCATTTTCGATTCCAATTAGACAGCCGTAGATGCGCCCACTCGAACGCGGTCCAATAAGAGATAGATCGGCTTAGATAATGTGTCATGTTAGTTTTAAGTAGGCAAACACATTATGAATGCAGCCAAGGAAATCGCTAATGGATACTTCGTTTCTTATTGGTCAAATCACATCATTAAGATTTTATCGAATATTTACCGTTTAAAAATATACTTGTCAATTTTTTACCTTCTACAGGTGTTGTTTGGGACTTTTTTAAGAGTTCATTGCTATTAATACACAAAAACCAAAGTTTTCAGGGCCCTGTATCCAAACTGTTACCCCTATCTGAAGCTAGTTATAACTTAATTAAGTATTAGTTAAAGCACAAGAGTAACACAGTTAAATACTGCCCGTAGTTTACAGTAGTAGTAAACATTTAAATGAAACGTTTCTATGGTTTGAAACGTGAAATATATTAGTTAACTTATTTACAAATTCTTTTTTACGACGGCTTTTTAAAGATGGAGGTCTTTAAAAAAGGAGTCCCAAAGTAAGGATGTGCAACGCTAGTTAAAAAAAAAAATTATGGTCACAGCTGTATTCTTCTCTCCGCCATAAAAATAACCTTAGGTCAGAATCGCGCTCAATAATTTTATTGAATATTTAATTATATTGTAAAGACATGATACTTTTTAGTATAAGATTAATACACATGAAATTGGATAAAGAAACAAAAGAAATGCACTTGAGTGCAATGATAACTAATTTTCCTCCTCATGTAAACGGAGTCTGTACTTAAAGCAGAACGTGAGTAATGAAACGAAAGCCCGCCGAGCTGCGTATGAGTGGCGTAACGAGCACAGGTACCGATTTTGGTCAATAATCGCCATAAGTACGGCGAGTACTTTCGCGTACCGAATGAAATAATAATTGGGCACCGCTTTATCACATTACTGTTCTCCGAAATACCTGAACAGTTCTTGTGTAAGCCGTTCACGTCGTGCCCGCGAAAATATCGCAGCGGCTTAATTATAGGTGGAAAAATAAATTCATGGGAAGTCCGAGGATCCTTATCTTTGTTACTTTGCCTAACCGTTCGACGCGCAAAAAATATAAATAATCTCTGCAACGAATTTCCATTCTTAGAATTGACCCCTTTCTTTCGAATGAAAGACATCTATAAAATAACAAAGGAAGGGTCAAGCCGCCTGAAAGCGTCGCCGCTGCTTCCCACACTGGTCAGTGGTTTACTGGACATCGCCGGTCATCAAATTCTTTGTTAGGATTATTGTCTCGCGCACAAAACACAACCCCTCGTCGTAGAGCGGCTTTGAAAGACAGTAGGTACTTAGATATATAGCACCCTTTCAATATAGAAACGGTTAACGACGCGTTAGGTAGAATCACAGGTGTGTTGAATATATCTACGGATAATAATTGTTACCCTAATAGACAACTATACCCAAATTGAAGTAATTTTGAATGCGTAACAGAGTAAATATCGACTATTCTTTTGACAAAATACAATCTTTAATTCTCGATTGGAGAGTTAAACGATAAAAAGCTGAAGTAATTTCAAAACAAATATAATAATACTGAGATATTAAAAATCAACTCAAGCAATTACCTAAATCATATTTTATTATCCTCTACTTAAAATTTTGCAGAGAAATGATATTCAAAATCATTGAAATAAGATTGGTATCATTAAGGTTCGCCCGTGCATTGCTTATATAATTGACCGGTTTTCTCTTATACAACTCGGAGCCCGATATACGAAATAAATACTGACAAGACACGAAAAGTAAAACACTTTTGTCTGACTAAGGTCTTAAATTATACGCGGTTTAACAACAGACTTTATTGTGACCGAATAAAGCATAAAATAGCTTAGCTGAGTAGTTCTGACGCAGCTTTCTTCCGAGTAACAGACAGCGCGATTTGTGCTTTAACATATATATGTGAACGCGAACATAGTAGGTATTAACACTCACAGAAAGTAGACATGATCATGATAAGCTGCTTTGCGGCGATAAATTTATGCGTCCTTTGTTTCTTTTCAACGATGTATCAAAAACAAACCTTTTGTATCCGCAACTGAGCATAAACAGGTCAACGTGGTCATATCAAACCCTATTGTTAACATAACGTATAGTATAGATATCGGATAGCACGCTTAAAGGTTATGAGAAAATGAAATTTACTGTTTCGTTTCGACCTATCAATTTCCTACTGGGCACAGAACTCCTGGAAGGGAGGGGTTTATGACAGAACTACGCTACTTCAGTTGACAAGCTTTACCGACTTTGGCCACTAAGTTGCCGATGAAAACCTGGACCAACGATTTCTAAACTCCACTCTGATAATATTTTTATAAACAACCAATACTCACTAAAACTAGTGACTACCCAACTAGGCACGTATTTATTTCAAAACACTTTTTCTACACAAAAACAATACTGTACCAAGTAGTAAACACACTGCGGAGTTTCAATGACGCCCCACGCTTGACATTTGAAGTAGAAGAGGACATACAATTTGAGTGTCTATTAAATACAGATGATAAATCTGTTACTTTTACTGTTTAAGAAGGGATATGAGTTGCAGCTTGAGAAAAAGCACTTTACTCGCAAGTAACTAGGTACCACGCTATTCAATAACGGCGTTAATAAATCAGTGTATACATTTTTATTTTTGAATCCGCGTAAAACATAGCTCGGAGGCCTCGATGGCAATCATAAATCTCATTAGTGCGTACAAAATGGTTATTTTATACGATCAGTGTTTGCTGAAGGCTGTATTTTTAAAATAGAATCATATTAGCCGCGCTGTACTAAAAGCCACTCCCAGAACGCTATAGTTTTATATGTAGCCTCTCGTACGATAGTGTGTCGCAGTAAATCATGTCATTTGACAAGCATTGATAAATTGGCATGATGCACCTAGCATATAACTTTGTGAGCTCGCCTTGTAGATGTTACTGCGTCATACTCGCGGACAGAACTATATTTCAACTCATTATATCTACTCATCATCATATACAAGAAAAAGGAACTCTCAGGGTGGCGAATGTACAAATAGAATTAAGTAGGCTTTAGTGAAAGCTCATCATTATTATCACTAAATTACAAACAAATACTCGAATCCAAAAAACAAAGGACTATTTCTGATTAAGTTTTTCATCTGTGCCCGCGATTTCGATATTCCCACCATAATTATACATTATTATCGGTACATTATACCACTATACGAACGAGGCAGTCAAAAATTCATGATTATTTCTAACTGGCAAACATTCCCGTGTTCATGACGAAGTTATCGAATCGTTAATTGCGTACGCGGACTGAATTTAAAAAGATATGGCATTTAAATGCCAATCAGTTGCCATTTAGTTCGATCTGTGAGAGACTATCGCCTTGAACAAAAATTTAAGTTCCTCCGGTGCGCTCGCGCCGCTACTACGCTACGCGTACACGACTTCATTTCGAATTGTTTGTTTTAAATTCAATTGGGCTACCGTAGCTTATGAAGCATGTTTTATGGTGACGTAACTTATTACCTTAAAGTAAAATAAGGGTTTTTATATAAAAATTTTCGAATACATTTGTCTTAAAATTCCTTAGCCATTGCGTAAAATGTAATAATTGGTAACTGCATTAATTCGTTAAATAGTAATGTATCACTTTGGACAGCTCTAAGCAAAGTCTATCTAAAATGGTGCAGAAGCTGGCTAAAGTCCAGTCTGTACACTATATACAATAAACAGGAATAAAATATAAGTCACAAGCACTACACAAAATCTAGTTTACGTATTTGTTATCACATGTAAAGATTATTTGGGCAACGCCGATTTACTATAGTCTGCTAAAATTTATACTAATTTTTATAAACGCGAAAGTAACTCTGTCTGTCTGTCTGTCCCGCTTTAACTCCGAAACTACTGAACTGATTTAAATGAAATTTGGTCCACATGTATTTTAGAACCTGAGAAAGGACATAGGCCTCTTACTTAATGCCAAAAAACCGTTTTTTGATAGGGGATGAAAGTTTGTATGGAAATTCGTGGCTTTTGAAGCGAAAGAAAAAAGTTTTTTTCTTTGGCTTTTTGGGAATAGGAGTGGAAGTGAGTGTAGGAATGAGAGTGGCAGTTGGAGCAGGAGTGAGTGTGAGGTGAGAGTGTTGCGGCAGAGTAGTACTTACCATAGATTAGCTGCCTTAAATGCGCCCTTACATAAATTAATAAACAGCCTGAATAATTAAAAATTCTACCCCAATTCACTATTCCACGCGGACTAAGTCGCGGGCACAGCTAGTAAATAATATTTGGATCACTAACGTTCGCTCTAACACAAACAAACATCTAGACTTAAAATTATTATATTTCATGTTAGTGAAAGAGATATTTTGTTAACCATTGACTGAAGAATTCAGTAGGTACTAAGTATTGTCTGTAGTTAACCGGAGTTATACAATTTTAAATAAAATACTGTAAACGGTAAACAACTTCATTTAAACGTGAAATATATTAATCAACCTATTTAGCTTTTGTTGTACCTACACCTTACACCTCTATGGAATAACTAACAAATTTACTTCTCAAAATCGTGTCTACGCTTCTCTTTATTTAATTCTGTTAAAGGTCAAATACATATTAATATTTATAACCACGACTCTACTAAGTTGGACTTTTTTTTAGTTGAAAACGGTTAGCCGGGTCGCCAGTGAAACAAGTGACAATTTCTGTGGCTGGTACATATAACTGTGTCGCTGCGTCTATCTTAAATATGATCACACAGATATGTTTCCATAACACCTTCGCCAGACATAATGGGTAGTGGTAGAAAACAAAAGTTCATCCAAGATTGTGATCTTCCTTTCTCAGTACCGCTAAATTACGTTTCTAGTTGCCGTATAACACTTTTACGAGGCACTTTGAAGATGCTTTTCTGTTTCCATATAATGGTTCTTGCAGCGTTACGACTGATCCCTAAAGATATCAACGTCTTCTTTGTCGTATAATTTACATTTGTACATTTTATGATAAATATCAGTTCTAGGAAGTTAAGTCGCATAATGCCAATTCATAATAAATAAACGTGATAAACATACAACTAGAAAGCTCTAAATTCCATTTCCGCATATGTCTGTGTACAGGAATGTTTAAAAACTGTCCGTAGTTTACGCGAGTAGTACATATTTAAATAAAAAACACTTTAACGGTTTAAAACGCGATATACTTTAGTGAAACTTGTTTGAAAATTATTTTTAACTACGGCCCGACGTTTCGGATGCTTTGCAGCAGCCGTGGTCACGGGTCTCCCCGTTATTTAAATATTTAAAAACTTTAACATTTTTCAATACGACACGGTAGCTCAATTGGTTAGAACAACAGCACGGAACGCCGAGGATGCCGATTCAAGTCCTGCCTGTGTCACAAAATTGTATTAATCTATCAGATTTCTGGCCCGGACCTAATAAAGAATCTCGACCGCTTAACGAACGTCCAAAAGAAAGTAATGTGATGTACCAATATCAAATAAAAGTGCAAACAAACCGGCTAGAGGCATTAATCAAATTCGTCCGTAGCGAATTCGTTATCGTAGCGAATAACTCTTAATGAACCGTTTAACTGCTTCGCTTAGAGCCTTGTAATAATAAAATCACGATCGTTTTTCAGATGGCAGCCGTACAACGGTGACGAATGGCGACGAGGCGAGCTAGTGGAACAAGATTTATGCCGAACTGAATTAGTACGAAAGGCGGAGCCCGACAATGCACGTAGACTGCCCGAGATCCATGTTGACCTATCGTTCTAATCTCCTCCATGCGAGACATGCGCTCGCACATGCACGTTGAATTTGACATCACAAATAGCACCTCCCACAGTGTCAAACTATATACTAGGGACGCCCCGCGGTCTTACTTGTGTCATATCGTTACTTTTTATTCCTAAAGAATTTATAATCATGAAATATATCTAAGTGAGTCTTTTAATACTCAAGAAGTTTAACTTCTATGTTATCTATACTAATATTATAAACCAGAAGAGTTCGTTTGTTTGAACGCGGCAATCTCAGAAAATACAAGTACGAATTGAAAAAACTGTTTTGGTTTTAGGCTAAAAACCATTACGCTGTGATCTATGGAAGTGAACAAAAAAATTTAATTATATATGTATGATAGAAAGCTTCTTGTTCAAAGGATTGAAGAAAACACGAGAACGCGGAAAAAGTCGTAGGTAACAGCTATAAATTATTAAGACGAGTAGGAGGGGGGAGAACAATTCCGATGCCCAAAATAACTATTCCACGTGGTCGAAGTCGCAGGCATAGGTTGTGCCTAATATAGTATGCTATATCAAGAGTAAGGGATTTTATTGCGATTCCCCCGTCATACAAGAACACAAGTCAAGTCTCAATTTCTACGATCAGCGGTTCAAGCTGTCATGTGATCATTACTCAGTCGTACAGGACAAAGCATTTTATATGTACATATTGAAGGCGAAATCGTGTCGCCTTACACGATCCTATAAACAATTCAAACGATAGTCAATACTTATATTCAATCGTATCAATATGGTACGAACAAATAAAACGTCCTTGCTTTTGGAATGCACGGTTTAGTTTTTTCATTACTGTTTTTACTATCGGCGACAAATTACTCAGAAAAGTTATTTGTGAATTCATAATTCACTGCTGTGTGTAGTTAACGAGAATGATATTATATAACAAATTTTTACTACGATGGATGTTTTGCAGCATTCGCTCGTGTTATAAACGGTTTAAAGTGTTTTTTACAAATGTATATTTCATACTTATCCCCTCAGAATTTTAATTAGGTGTATAATGCAAAATATACTTTAGGTTTCCCCGCAATTATTACAGGCTATTCTCGCTAAGTACTGGAAACAATTCGGATCGGATTGCAAAACCGATAAAAACATTCCCATTCGGTATCTATCGAACCTGGGACTTTATGAGTGCTAATTAAGCTTCTTGTTCTGCGACTTCTCCCTTAAGGTACTGAAACTAATTATTAGTTCTGAGTGAACTTTTTATCAAGCCCGCGAACAATGGGAACGTGACTGTACTAGCGATCTCGCCGGCCGTATTATAAAGGGACACAGTGCCCACTCCGAAGCTAAGGAGCAAATTCATTGCCATCTTTGTACAGGTATTTGTTACATACAAACTCTTAATAAGTACGATAAGAAAATGCCAAAGCAATATACGTAAATATCGAAACAAAATTGACTTCAATGAAATACTTGAAACGCTACTGCAATATTGCAAACGAGCGGGTGGTTGACGCCTTTATGAGTTTAACTGGAGGGCTTAACGTTGTTGGATTATATACAGGACCCCAAACATGAAAAGAAGTTACAACAATTAAATAATTATCAATATTATATGTATTTAGTTTTCGCGGAAAAGTACATAATACACATTTTTATTATGAGATCGAGATTGAAGAAATACATTCCAAGAGAATCGCATTAAAAAATGTCTATTTATTGTTAAGTGAGATATTAATCCTACTTAAGGAAAAGACAAAATTTCTTAACACTTTGGTTTACGTAGAAAATATTGTCAAAATAAATAAATACGTGTTTGCATCTTAAAATCGTAAGTGATAGGAAGTAAAAGATAACGCACGTAAAATACGAGTGTAGCAAATGCAAAGTGCAATAAAACGGTTTATCCAGAGGTTCATATAACGAGAGTCAATAAAGCGTTTATGGTAGTCTGTACTGAATGACCATAAATTGTAAAGATTAAGGTCAATAACGCGATGGATATGATAACTGCTAAGAAAACGCTGAGTACTCTACAACTCACATTAGCATTAACGCAGGTACATTTTCCAGTTGCCGTAATTTCATTTCCAGTCGCTTTTATCTGAATATTTAGTTTCGTTAGGGACTCGAAGCAGAAACGTAAATAATTTTACATCTTTATTACGAGTAAACTGAGTTGTATAATTACCTACGGAGTTATGAGCTTTCGTAATATGAAAATAAAGCTAGATTTCTCAAAACTAAGATTGTCGCTTTGAATTCAGGGTCGACCGAAAGGTTGAGACGATATCACTGAGTTTCGGCTGTCCATCTGACAACAGACTCTCATGACTATTGATCGACAGTTTAAATCTTCACAGATGACCACTTTAACAAAAAGTATTAAAAAACAGAAGGCAATGTCCCATAAGACAGACATCCGAAAAAATACACGTAACTTTTCTCACCCGAGTACATCTCGCACTCAGCTATTTCGGTTATTTAAATAAAATACTTTAACGATTTAAAACGCGATATATTAGTTAAACTTATTTGGAAATTATTTTCAAATAAGTTTAACTAATATATCGCGTTTTAAACTGTTAAAGTGTTTTACTTAAATGTGTACTACTCGCGTAAACTATAGACAGTATTTTATTATATAAATAAAATAAATAACTAGATTCGCAGCTTAATAATTTCAGAACAACAAGAAAATTTCACGAGACTCGCTTATTTCTAGTCAGTTAAAAAGAAAGAAAAATCACAAAGACAGATTGACTTGAAGTAGATACTTGAAAACAAAATTATAAATTATAAATAACTTGTTTGTTGTTCATAAAAGCTATGTTTTCTTTGCAGGGCATAAGTATGTATCTTAAATTAACTTAAACGTTAACTTTTATGTTGTTTATTTTTTTAACATTTCATATTTTCAAGAAAACTTAAGTATTAACTCTTTCTTTAAAACAAGCGCCATCTATTACACTCACTTGGAATCACAACGAAAAGCCTTTATTCAGCAGCAGAGACATCTCTTAACAAATGGATAAAACTTCCCAGACCGAAATTTTAATTAGATATATTTGGTTTAAGACTGAGCTAGTTCTTAGAAAAACACTTTTCTGTTTATATACACATAACTACTATGTTTAACTGATGCTATATAGAACTGACGCTGTAAAATTAAAGGTTACTTCTTTTGATAAAGGTGTAAGCAAAAGAATTAGGCTTCAGACACAATACAACATAACAAACGTTAACGAAATAGCAAACTGTAGGGTCGAATAATCACTAATAAATTACATAATAAGGTATTTCTGAACCCATTGCAACAGTTGTCAAGACAGGAAAACGAGATACCGCTGCTACGTAGGAATTAAGATAACTGTTTAACTTTACTTTCTAATAGTGTTTATGAGATTTAATTAAACTTACAGAAAAGAAATGATTTAATTCACATCTAAATGTTTTATAGATGATTCATGCCTATTTGAGGAATTCATAATTATCCTCTCTCGCAGAACTTCTGTTTCAAGATGTCAAATATTCAGACTGCGTGCGCATTGCAAAAGTCGAGTATTATATGTAATTATGTAGCTACATAAACCAGGCGTGCCTGTTCAACCTCTAATTATTCTTGGAGAACAATTTAATATCTTTCATTATGCTTAGGAAACGATGGGCGATTTAGTTAACTAAAAAAAAGAACTAATTTTGAAAAAAGTACATTACGGGTTACTTGTGATACATCTTAGATATAAAAATCGATACACTTAATATTTGCAAAATAATTCTAGAACAAAACTTTTGATCTAAATATGAGCCTAGAATGGAAAATTTCGATTATTGCGACCTTAGCGCCATCTACACTTCAAGGATTTCAACAGGATTTGACAACAATCCTCTTCATGTAAAGCTTACGTCGTACAAATACTACTTTTATATCAAAAATACAATTTCTCTAATTACAGGAATTGAATACAGCAAAACAAATGATCTGCATTATGTAAAGAAGTTGCTTCTATTAAATTTCGCATAAACCCTTAAGTACCTATATATTAGAGTTCAACGACATTAAAGCAAGTCTAATTCGCTAACTGCTATTACGATGTTCATACATTTGAGATTCCCTTTGAGTGTATTTTTTTCATGCCGAGAACTTGTTTTCAATTTATTTTTATGGAACTGGCTGTACCTTGGCAATCTCGTTATGTTTTAAACGAAAACATATTAAATTAAAAATAGCACCTGTTACAATGCAAAGAAAAAACTCGACTGTTCTCTCGTAAATTATCGATATGAAGTTGTAAGTACTGTTAGTCTTCTCAGTTAATTATTTGTATTGAGTTCTACTAGTGCATATTTCATAAGAATTTTTTAATAGTTGTTGATATACATTTTACAACTAAATTTATTAATTAAAAGTAAATATTTTGGTTAAAATTACCCACAGAAAAAAGATCATATCAGTATTTCAAAGTCGAGATAAAATCTAGATAATATTGAGTAATGAAAATACTACATAGAGTCCTTTAAGAATTCACATTGCAAGTTATGTTTGTCTCGCAGGTAACTCTTCAGGAAGAGGGAGTTAAGAGGCTCTGGTGGTTCGGACTTCGGAGGTAGTCGGTGATAAAATTTCATAGAAAAAAATTGAAATAGGAAAATCGCTTTTCACTCACAATCCGAACCCGCTACCTCATGGTGTGCTGCACGAAATCGAGGCAGTTTTAAGAACTAATAAAGCTAACTATAAAAATTACTACAAATTATTATTAAACTAGCCGTGCTCACGGCTTCGATCGTGTGGAATAGTTACATTGAGCAATTTGGTAAATTCAAAAAATTGATATTCGTTTATATACCTCTTCATCGAGATTGACATATACTGTCCCGGACAGTTTTTAGATCATTTAAAAAGGAATCATTCTTTCAATAAAACACTTTAACGGCGATATATTAGTTAAACTTATTTGAAAATGATCTTTTAACTTCGGCCCGACGTTCAACGGGGTTTTAACGGGGAGACACCCCCGT